TTTTTCCCTGGCGAACTTTTACCACCGCTGTATTGCCGCTCCCCACCACCCACCCTAAGATAGATGATGGGGTAGCCCTCCGATGAGCTCCTTCCTTCTACTTCCTTCCGTCCGGTGAGCTCCTTCTTTCCCTTCGGCGAACTTTTTTGCCCTTCTCAAAATCGGCTGACGCAAAAGCTAAAGTCAGTCGGCTGCATCTAGCTACCGCGGCTCAATATACTAGTGACGTTGTTGCTCATGTAGAAGCACGGTCAAAATATCATTACAGTTCCCCGTCTGATGTACTATAGTATTTTTTTTTCATAAGTGCATCTTTAACCGTGCATACCAGCAAAGACTCCCAGAACCTGACGAGCCATGCTGTGTCGTGCGTCCCCCCGTCGCACCGTCGTCGGTTGAGACGGTCCAGCAAAAGAAAAAAGAAGAGGGGGCATGCAATGCGCAGCAATTGAGAGCCGCATGAGCCGAACCAACCGCGCACTCGCCGAACCAAACCCCGTATGTATTTTAGCCGGCCGGACCTGCCGGTCGGTCGGAACCGATCGCCGTGGTGCGCCACCACCAACTCCCCGCCTCGACGAACCTCATCGAGAGACGGTCCTAGTCTCGAAGAGTCGTGTATACGAATACAAGTTTATACACACGCGTTGACGTATGACGTACCTCCCTCTTATCTTTCGTTCGAAAGCCGCAACACTCCCGATCTTAGATTGTGAGCGTCAAGTAAACAAGCACTGGGGAGGGCATCATTAACATAAGATGTGCAAGTCACCAAGCCAAGCAAAGCGACGAGTCTATGAGAAAAAGGACAAAAGAAAGCGAGAAAGAAAGCGAGTCAGAGAGGTGGACTCGTCACCGGCTGACTAGACCACCCGCAGGTTGATCGCAACCATGCATGAACCAGGTGGATCACCCGATCGATCTCTCTCAAATGAACAGACATAACACAGGCTTATCTACTCGTGTTGTGCCGATCCTTTCGTTTGGAGAAGGAACCAAAGATTAGTAGCAGTAGGCCGTACGTAAAAGCTGGCTGCTGGCTCGCGGCGTAGCACCCCCGGTCGAGCTGTCGTCGATGCGTTCGAAGCGAAACGGGCCAAAGCTCTGAGTGGCATCTGGCTTTAGACAAAGGAAGTGTTGCACAAAGCTCGGGCTACATAGAACTCTATGGGAGCGTCCCTGTCGGGTTTTGGATTAAAGGCTTGGCCGTGACTTTTGCCTGCTTCGGGCCGAGCTTGGATGCCTGATGCCGGGACATATCGAAGAAGCTAGCTAGCAACACGTTGTCAGATGTCACATCCGCTAGATCTAATACCAATTAACAAAGCGCTTTGGCTTGGTTAACTGTAATCCAGGACGGACGTAGTACACCCTGGATACACTAGTCCCCGATCGCAGAGTCATCCCATCCACTAGTATCAGGTTCCTTACCGTCGAGACGCGAGCTGTAACCATTGCGGCTGTTGGGTGTTGGGTGTTACGGGTACGCGCGAACCCATCAACCGGGTGCAAGAATTCGTCGCCCACTTCGAACCGGCAGTGACTGCGGACGCCGTGCGTACGCACGGTGTTACACCGGGGAGGAGGAGGCGTCCACCCGACCCGACCCGGCCCCGGCCGAGAATCGAGAATTCCACAGCCACGCACGGGGCAGGCCGAGGACGCGGTACGTACCGGCCCCTGCGATAAACGCACGAGCGGACACACGGACGGCCGCGATCCATCCGGCTCCAACTTTCAACCCGCACGGGCTCCCGTCCCGTTCGTACCCGCGATCCGCCCCCCTTTCATATGACCACCGGTCTCGCCGGCCCCGTTGCGTGCGCCGCGCAGCCTTTCCTCTCCTCTCCTCTCCCCTCCCCTCCCACCCTGCGCGCGCCGGCAGCGAACGGTTCCTCCCTACCGTTTGAACGGTTCGGCTCGGAGGCGAACCTGGGCCGGGCCCGCTGCCCAGTCCTCCTCGTTCGTTCCACCGATCGCTGAGTGGCGGACGGAGGTTTTGCTCTGGCCGCAGGGGAGGTTCTCTTGGCGACGGCGGTGGCGGATGGGGTGCAAGGGGTCCAAGCACGCGCTGCATGGCGGCGGGGGCGGCGCGCTGGATGCGCGGAAGTGCGCGTCGGGGCTCGTGGCGCGCCACTCCGTCGCGCTCCGGTCGTCCACGCTCGGCACGCTCAGCCTCGACCGCGCCACGGCCGCGGCGGTTTCTTTCGCAGGAGGGGAGGGGGCGGTGGCGGGGGCGACGGCGGCGAGGTCCGGGAAGGAGGGCGCGGCGGGGAGGTGCCGGTCCTTCGCCGGGTGGTTCCCGGCGTCGCCCAAGGTGGAGCCTGGCCAGCCGGTGAAGCGGCAGAGGCTGGCGCCCCCAAGGACGCCCACCAAGACGCCCGCGCGTGCCCCCGAGGAGATCAACGTGTGGGAGCTCATGGACGGGCTCGACGACGACGGCGCGGAGGACGAGGAGGAGGAGGAATACGATGACTGCGTGGACGGGCAGGTGGAGTCGGCGCCCGGATCGCCGGAGTTCGACCCCGACGTCCTGTCGGCGTTCCGGGAGGCGCTCGCCGAGCTGTCGCCTCCTCCGCCGGAAGCCGACGACGCGAGCGACGGAGGGGCCGTCGTCAAGAAGGACGAAATCGAGGTGTTCGCCGACGTCGCGAGCGACGGAGGGGCCGTCGTCAAGAATGAGGAAATCCAGGTGTTCGCCGACGTCGTGAGCGACGGAGGAGCCGTTGTCAAGGAGGAAATCCAGGTGTTCGACGACGTCGCGAGCGACGGAGGAGCCATCGTCAAGAAGGAGGAAATTCAGGTGTTCGCCGGCGTAGTGCGTGCGCGGCTGGACGTGCTCCAGGGAAGGATCGACAGCAGGTCACAAAAGAATCCCCCGCCGCCACCGCCCCCGCCGGAGAGCGCGAGGCGGGTGGTCGTCTACCTGACGAGCCTCCGCGGCATCCGGCAGACGTACGAGGACTGCTGGGCGGCGAGCACGATCCTGTCCAGCTACGGCGTGCACGTGGACGAGCGGGACCTGTCGATGCACGCGGGGTACAAGGAGGAGCTGCGCGACGCGCTCGGCGCAGGCGCCCCCGCCGCAGGCACCGGCGTGCTGCCGCAGGTGTTCGTCGACGGCTGGCACCTGGGCGGCGCCGAGGAGGTGCGCCGCATGCACGAGTCCGGGGAGCTGGCGGAGGCCCTCGAGGCCTGTGAGCCGGCGCCGGGCGCCGCCGGAGGCGGGAAAGATGGGCCGGGGGGCTTCGCCGCGGAGCCGTGCGGCGGGTGCGGGGGCGCGCGGTTCGTGCCGTGCGACGTCTGCTCCGGCAGCTGCAAGTTGTTCGTCGAGGACGAGGACGGCGCCGGGGCGTTCAGGCGGTGCCCGGACTGCAACGAGAACGGGCTACTGAGATGTCCAATCTGTTAATGGAACCACTCTGTTTTAATTGCTTGGATTTTTTGTTGTTGTTAGTGTGCCTTCTCTCTAGCTAATACCGACGTGTTCATCCAAAAAATGGTACAGAGTTAAACAAAATGGGAGGAACAGCGCGTCAGAAAAGACTCAACCGGAGGTAGCTTTTTCTTTCCCCCCTCTCGCACGACCAGGAAAATCCTACTTGCCTTCGATCTTCGCCGGCGCGTGCGTGGAGTCTCCTCCCCTCTGCTTGCCGCTCCGGCGGACGGTGGCAGGAGGGTATTCCTGGTGCCTCGACTTAGATAGATAGGATTTTGGTTCTCGTAAGGACGGCGCTTGGACAGATGGAGACGCTTCTTCTTCGAGTCTGTCTTCAGGGCTCCGATTATCCTTAAGTTTGTTCGTCGGGACAGACTAGACGGAGCTTCGGCATAGATTTCTGCCAGCTACTCAAAGCGGCGAGGTTATGGTTTCTCGTCGTGCGTATGCAATGGTGAGATTTGATGCCAGATTCTTCAGATCGATTCAAGGGTTCAATGGCTACTACTGCGGCTCCTGAACGCTGGTCCTTAGGGGCATATATACGAAGACTTACCGGTTGTCATCGACAAGGTCAGGCCGGCTTCGGTATTAGAGCGGTGACAGCGACATGTCGGCAGCTCGTTCAGGCGGTGCCAGTGGTCCTTCGGTTGTCCACGGATCTCAATGTACTTTCTATTATATTTGAGGTGATTTGTACTTTCAGTAAATCTTTATAATAGATACGATATTTCCGCAGAAAAGAAGGGAAAAAAAAAAGAAGGGAGGAACAGAAATTTGCCCTCCACCCATCCATGCTAGGACTGATCCGTTGATCGGGTCGAGCTGTGAAGACACAAACACGCAAAGAATAAACAGTTGCTTGTGAGAACCACTGCAGTGCGCTCGCCCTGTGACTGTCTGACTGAACCATGTGAACAGATGTTCTTCAGAGTCGAGCTACGACTCTAGTAGATGTTCGGAGTGTGAACCATGCGTCCTAGGATTCACGCCATGCATGATGTACCAGCCGACTATAATATGGCCTCGTGACTTGTGGGCGGTGGTGAGCAGAAATGGAAAGAAAATAGGGGGCCCAAAACAACACCGGACAAAAGTGAAAATTGAAGCCAGTTGCGCCCACGTTGTACATGTACCCCCTCGGAGAATCAATGCCGTCGAGACCATGGTGGCCATGGCCTCCTATGAGCAACCAGCTGCCCTCAAGGACAAAAAGGTTTTCACCGAGGTGTAGGTTTTGCAAGCCCAACGACCCCCGGCATTGCAAAAGGTGCAGGTTTTGGTCTAGTGACCGTAGCTCCAAGGTAGTGAGAGTACTCTGTACAACGAAGGACTCGTCAATCCTGAAGTAAACAAACGATAAAGCTATTCAGCTGCCGGATGAATGAATAGCTGTTAGCTTCTTTTGATTTTCCTTTCTTTTTGTAGCTTGCGGCTAGCCTGCATTTTTTGTGCGTTCCAAGCTTCAAGCTGCTCGTGGTTTTGCCATGCATTCAGATATAAGGTACACACTGCTGTAACTTCTGTTTCATTTAAAAGAAGGTGGACAGTGAAACTACTCTCCCCGTCCCATAATATAAAGACCTTTTTGCAAGCTGAGTAGATCAAGAAATTGACAAATAATCATTGTATGAATCTAGCTAGCCCTAAAAGATGGGGCAATTACCCCTCTCTATATAATATTGTGCAACGTAAGGAAGATTATGTCGCCATAGTATTAAACTCAGTACCACTTAATATCCAATTTAGAAGATCCCTTGTAGGGGAACGTTGGAATGCATGATTACACCTGGTACGTAGGTTGATGAATGTTCAACTTTCAGATCAGGCGGATACAATTAGTTGGAAGTTAACCACGAATGAGTATTCTCTGTCAAATCCACGTATTTGGACTTAATAGATTCTGGGCCATTGTCGAGGTCTTTGCACATATGGAAGATTAAAGTTCCACTCCGCATCAAGATCTTTATGTGGTTTGTCCACAAAGGAGTCATCTTGACCAAAGATAATCTGATGAAAAGAAATTGGGTCGGACAATCTAGATGTTGTTTTTGTGATCAAAATGAGACAATTAAACACCTCTTTCTCGAATGTCCACTTGCAAAACTGTTATGGCGATCCATTCATATAGCTTTTAAGGTTAATCCCCCAATGAGTCTAAACACGTTATTTGGGACGTGGCTTAATGGAGTAGACATACACACAGCTAAACATATTTGGATAGAGATATGTGCACTTTTATGGGCTATATGGAACACTCGAAATGATATGATTGTTAATGGGACAAAATTCACTAATTTTTGCAGGTTATCTACAGAGCTACAGCCTGGGTCCGTATGTGGTCCTTACTCACTCATGCGGACTACATGGAGATTATGGTTATTGGGTGCAGCCGATGAGAGACGGTAGCACGGTCTATTTTCAACCGATTTGAATGACGAACTAATAATATGCTAGGTGTGTAGGCATTGTAGCTTGTTTTTTATAGCCGGATGTGGCGTATCTTTCTTACTCAGATTTTGAGTTTCCGTGGAACTTATGACCTTGTTTTGATTTTAATAATATGGCTGCATGCATCGATTGATGCAGAGGCCGAATGTAAGCCTCCTTTTCAAAAAAAAAAAGATGGGGCAATTTCAGTTCAGTGAATACTGCTTCTGTTGGAATTTGAGAACACATGGCAGCATTAAAGACATGAGAGCATTTTCATCGCTGGATCAACCTGTGAGGTCCATGGACTGTTTCAAGGTCGACCACTCGAGAATCCACGAGCTTGGAAATGCCTTAACTGGTGAAGATAGCCTGACAGTGAAAAACCCACTTTACCAGTTTGTCATGAGGCAATAAAGTTTGAAGTGAAGTTAGGTAAAGTCGGGACATTGGTCGAACAAACATCTTGAAAGCTGAAGCTTACATTACATTATTGATTGCTCCCGAAGAATCGTGTGGAAAAGCCTGAAGCTCGAGGTGCAGGTTGCTCCAAAATAAGGAAACAATTATGCACTTCAAGATTCATATAAAACGAACATGTTGACATTCTCACTACATTCCCCGAGAATATAGAAAGAGATCCACATTAGAGGAGTAGGAGTCAAAATGCTGAGCAATTTTCTCTAGTCCTTAATTGGCTTGCTCTTATTTCAGTTTGGGGAATTTGTGCGATGTGTTCTTCCGTGGAGATGGCAATTGGGATCAATTTATTTGAGAGATTTTGGAGTAGATTAATCAGATGAAAATAGTTATGCAAATTTGTTTGTTGTGGCAGATAAGCAGCACGCTAGATTACAAGGTTATAGTCATAGTTTATTTTTCTAGTGGAATACACATAGTTTAGTTGTTGATCAAAGATTTCCATGTTCATGGAACAGTTGGTTTCTTTTGTATATGAAGTTGTTATGTAAACACCTTTGGACTAGGGGGTGCCTCGAGTAACGTGATTAGCATCGAGAGTGCCGAGGATGTCTTCAAACAATAAATATTTTAATTGGGTTGTGTACGATGGCCTTATATCAAAAGTCGCCATACAATGAAAAGATTGAAACAATGGTTTACTTTCAATAGGTTCGATCTCCTCGGCGGGGCGATCGAATCATATTATAGAAAGGCATCTAGGGGGTTGGTACTAGTTCTGAGTCGGAAGGAGCTTTTGAGATCTCACTCCCAAATGCCCTTTCCCAATGTCGGTCGAGGCGAACGTGAAGGAAATATGACCTAGAGGCAATAATAGAGTTGTTATTTATATTTCCTTATATCATGATAAATGTTTATTATTCATGCTAGAATTGTATTAACCGGAAACTTAGTACATGTGTGAATATATAGACAAACTAAGTGTCCCTAGTATGCCTCTACTTGACTAGCTTGTTGAATCAATGGTGGTTATGTTTCCTAACCATAGACATGAGTTGTCATTTTATTAACGAGATCACATCATTAGAGAATGATGTGATTGACTTGACCCATCCGTTAGCTTAGCACGATGATCGTTTAGTTTGTTGTTATTGCTTTATCCATAACTTATACATGTTCCTATGACTATGAGATCATGCAACTCCTGAATACCGGAGGAACACTTTGTGTGCTATCAAACGTCACAACGTAACTGGGTGACTATAAAGATGCTCTACAGGTGTCTCCGATGGTGTTTGTTGAGTTGGCATAGATCGAGATTAGGATTTGTCACTCCGAGTATCGGAGAGGTATCTCTGGGCCCTCTCGGTAATGCACATCACTATAAGCCTTGCAAGCAATGTGACTAATGAGTTAGTTGCGGGATGATGCATTACCGAATGAGTAAAGAGACTTGCCGGTAACGAGATTGAACTAGGTATTGAGATACCGACGATCAAATCTCGGGCAAGTAACATACCGATGACAAAGGGAACTACGTATATCATTATGCTGTTTGACCGTTTAAGATCTTCATAGAATATGTGGGAGCCAATATGAACATCCAGGTTCCGCTATTGGTTATTGACCGAAGACGTGTCTCGGTCATGTCTACATAGTTCTCGAACCCGTAGGGTCCGCACACTTAACGTTCGGTGACGATCGGTATTATGAGTTTGTGTGTTTTTTATGTACCGAAGGTAGTTCGGAGTCCCGGATATGATCACGGACATGACGAGGAGTCTCGAAATGGTCGAGACATAAAGGTTGATATATTGGACGGCTATATTCGGACACCGGAAGTGTTTCAGATGATTTCGGAGAAAACCGGAGTGCCGAAGGGTTACCGGAACCCCCCCGGGGAACTAATGGGCCACATGGGCCTTAGTGGAGAGAGAGAGGGCCGGCCAGGGCAGGCCGCGCGCCCTCCCCCTCTAGTTCGAATTGGACAAGGGAGGGGGGGCCCCTTTCCTTTTCCCTTCTCCTCCTTCCTTTCCCTCTCCAGGCGCGCCACAAGGGCCGGCCGGCCTCCCCCTTTCTCCTTTATATACGGGGGCCGGGGGCACCCTAGGACACACAAGTTG